TTGGAGTCTCACTCTGTTGCCCAGACTGGAGTGCAGTGGCCGCTCCCGGTCACCGCAGCCTCCACCTGCTGGGCTCCTGTGATCCTTCCGCCTCAGCCTTCCGAGTAGCCGGAATCACAGGCATGCACTACCACGCCCGGCTGATTTTTTGATTTATTGTAGAGATGAGATCTCGCTTTCAGGCGGGTCTCGAACCCGCGGGCTCAGGCAATCCACTCACCTCAGCCTCCCAAAGGCGCGGCATTACAGGCTGAGCCACTGAGCCTGGCTTATTTTTTTAAATCTCTACATTTTATTACTGGCTGTTACTTTTGATACACCTGACTTTTTTACTTATTTGGTTTTTTTTTTTGAGACAGGGTCTCACTCTGTTGTCCAAGCAGGAGTGCAATGGCACGATCATAGCTCACTGCAGCCTCGAACTCCTGGGCTCAAGGGACTTCTCCCCTCCACCCCCACCCCTCCTGCTCCTCCATTCCTCCCTCCCCCACCTCAGTCTCCTGAGTAGCTGGGACTTCAGACAGCGCTACCAGGTCTGGTTATGTTTCCCAGGCTGATCTTGAATTCCTGGCCTCGAGTGATCTTCCTGTCTCAGTCTCCCAAGGTGCTGGGACCGCTAAATCTGACACTGATCTGATGAATCTGACCATGGAAGATGAGCTGAATCAGAAGTGATGAGTAAGACTCAACAATAAGTAGATTTCATGAGTTTAGAGCTTTCTTTTGCTGGCGAGGCTGACTGTGTGTGTTCGTATCCTAATGAAAACCATCGTAATTGTTAGTCGGGGGGGAAAAATGGTGGTTTAGAAAACAACTCTCTTTTGAGTTAATCCTAATCCTTCTGTTGTACTAAATCAGTGTTATTCATCATGTTTCCTTATTTTCATCAAGGACTTATACAAAATCCTCCAAACTGAACAAAGTGTCTTAATTTTCTGAGCCCGTAGCCAAAATCAAATAGCACTTTCACGGAATCATCAACCCAACCAATACGTTGCCGTTTTTCTCTTTTTACCCCCAGAAAGAATCTAGAAAATCTGACCTCTCCAATAATACACCTTCCTATCCCCCACATTTTCCCTTCCCCAAAATCAGCAGATAAGAACATGAGATATTCTTAGAATCGTGTTTTTCATTTGGCTTAAAATCCTTTAATTGAATGCAAATGCATCCCTTTCCTTCCCATGTCCACACAAAGACTTCCCCTTCTTGGCTAAATGGCCACGTGGTGTTACAGGTCCTGTTTTAAACTGGGATAGTAGGAGCTGGAGCTGGTTACTAACAGCCCACCGGATTTTTACTTATTTCTTGACTGAGCCTCATCTCAGGGGTGAAGTACCCGACCTTACATAAAAGATAAAAAGTAAATATTAAATTAATTTTTTAAAAATCCTGAGCAACTAGCTGGGTGAGGTGGCTCCCACCTATAATCTCAGTGCTTTGGGAGGCCGAGGCAGGAGGACTCCTTGAGCCCAGGTGTTCGACACTAGCCTCGACAGCATAGTGAGACCTCATTTCTACAAAAAACTTAAAAACCTTGCCCGGTGTGGTGGCGCATGCATGTAATCCCAGCTACCCAGGAGGCTAAGGTAGGAGGATCTCCTGAGTCCAGGAGTTCAAGGAGCAGTGAGTTATGATGGCTCCACTGCATTCTAGCATGGGTGACAGAGCCAGGCCCTGTTTCAAAAACAAAAAAAGAAAAGAAACAATAACAACAACAACAAAAATCCTAGGTAACACCCAGATATCTTGAGTACCATCTTTGTCAAACGCCATTCCTATGGCCCTAATTACCGCATCTGTTCCTGTCTCTTGTCTTCTTAGTAACCATCAGTCTTTATATTTCTTTTAAATATACTTAAGCAAATGACATTGTTGTTAGTCCACAGATTATATAAGTATCTGAATTAAAAAGACGGTTCATGTGTTCTGAAGGGTATCACTGCATAATACCAGCATCCTGTTAATTCACCAAAGTCTTTAATAACCCTTATAACCCCAAAAGTAACAAACTGACAAAATAGGGTAACTTCCTTTTTTTTTTTTTTGAGTTGGAGTCTCATTCTGTGGCCCAGACTGGAGTACGGTGGCACACTCTCGGCCACTGCAGCCTCGACCTGCTGGGCTCCGGCGATCCTTCCGCCTCAGCCTTCCAAGGAGCTGGAACCACAGGCATGCGCTACCACGCCCAGCTAATTTTTGATTTATGGTAGAGACGAGGTCTCGCCAAGTTGCCCAGGTGGGTCTCGAACCCACGGGCTCAGGCAGTCCACTCGCCTCGACCTCCCAAAGTGCTGGGATTACAGGCTGAGCCACCCAGCCCGGCCGGGGTAACTTCCCTATGCTGTTTTCTTCGAAGTCTTGGGAATGCCACAGCTCATGAAGGATCTTACCTATGATGACGTATCAGTGTCTGGGACCATCGACAGACTCAGGTCCCACTGAAATGTTCTGCGGTATTTAAGGGGGAGGATACTTTTATTTTCATCATGACATGAGCCCATTCTGACTGTAGGCTTGGCTTCTACCCAAGCCTAAAAAACATGTTTTCGCAGTTCCAGATTCAAATATTAAATTAAAACAGATGTGCAAAAACAAACACACAAATATCCACCACCAAACAAAACCTCCCCCTCCTTGAAACCACCAGCTCTGGGAAAGACCACTGTCCACTGTTCCTCAACTCTTAGCAAAAAGAACAGATTCACATTCCTCCTTGACCCGTGGTTGTTTCAACACCTGGAGAGGCCGCCGAGGAAGAAAGCTCTAGAAGTGTCTGGCGTGGTCTCCGCGCTCCCTCTTGGGCCACTCCTCGTCCACCCACCTGCGCAGAACCTTCTCCACGTCGGCCCTGTGGTAAAGCCGGCAGAGCTCCATCAGCTGGCCCACTGTCCTCTGACTGTTTCGGAGCAGGAACTCCAGGGTGGGACTCTGTGGCCTCTGCTCCAGGAAGCACAACTCGTCGTAAGGCATGCCCCACTTGCTTGCAAAATTCCTCCAGTTTTTCACCGTTGGGTGACACGGATCCAGCTTTATTCTGATCACATCCAAGACATCCTGATCATTGAGCAAGTCACTGATGGTGGGGGCCCGGAGCGAGCAGGAGGAACAGGTACAGTTTTCTTTGCAGGACTCGTCCTTGCCGGTATCTGCAGGAAGAAGCAACGCAGATCACACGTCAACCACAGGCCGGATAGATGCGTTCATTTTCATGGCCTTTATTTTCCTGCTGAATTGTCAAAAGCATCGGTCTCACATAGCCTATCTCATAGAAGACTATGTCAGAATATTCATTTCTGATGATGTGTAATTTTTTTTTTTTGAGTTGGAGTCTCACTCTGTCGCCCAGCTGGGGTGCAGTGGCACGATCACGGCCACCGCTGCCTCGACATGCTGGGCTCAGGCGACCCTCTCACTTCTGCCTCCCAAAGTGTAAAGATGTATTATTTATCGCTAAAGATGGGTTGCCTTGTTGGAAGCAGTCATCAGATTTTACAAAGCCAGTTTCCCTTTCTGTCCGGGACTCTCTGTCTTACAGACTGCAGGCAGAATAAGGGCTCGTAGGAACAGTGCTCTCTCTCTGAGGCAGGCCACCAGGCCAGTGGTGGCCAGCCTCCACCACACCCACGAGTACCCTGCCACACTACCCATGCCCCTTCCAAGCTGCCGGTCCGCCCTGACAGCTTCTTAACACCAAACACAGCATGTCGGGGTCTAAAGGATTGCACAATTCTTTAAAAAGGTCTTTAACAATATATACACAGAAGGGAAAACTGGAATATCCACTCCACACACATATTTGAAAATGAGTGGTAGTTGATAGTGCCAGAAACTTCACTTTTAAAATTTATGGCCACCTTATCATCCCTGCGCTTTTATCTGTGTTTTCTTCACCCATGGAGCTCCCTCTGAAGTGCAGCCAACACTCTGGGGTGTGAGCAGTGGGGTGGAAACAGGCAGAGAACAGCAGGAGGCTACTCAGCTGAGCCCTCCAGAGAGGACACTCCCATCTCAGAGGAAGGACAGCCTCCTTGAGGATTGTAAAGCGTCAGTCATCTTCAGCCTCATTTTATTGCTAGGAGGCAGGCTAGTAGGAGGATGAAATTTGTAGGTAAGAGACCCTGACATGTCCTTTATAATCAAGTAATAAGCGGTGTCTACACAACATGGCAGATGAAACAGCTTAAATTATGCCACGACACTGAGTTTCAAGAGTCCCAGAATTTGGATTTTGACAGCCAAATGGACATAATGGCTTGGAAAATTCTGGGAAAGGTTATGGTGGCCTTTACTACAGGTGATGTTACCTTGAGTTGTGGCCTTCCAGGTTTACGAAAATAAATAATTTGGAGAGAGGGAGTCACTTTGGTGAACATGAGGTTGAGAACCAGCACTTTTGAGGCAAATACAAATTAAAAGGTAACAAATCAAGAGCCCTGAAAATGATGCTCATACTCTTTGACCTAATGTGACTTCTGGGAATCTTTCCCAAGAAGATAATCCAAAATATGTATATTCATGAACATTTTTGATTACTATACTATTTACATTATCAATCACTACTTTTATTTATTTATTTATTTTTGAGTTGGAGTCTCATTCATTGGCCAGGCTGGAGTGCAGTGGCACACTCACGGCCACCCCAGCGTCGACCTGCTGGGCTCCGGCAATCCTTCCGCCTCAGCCTTCCAAGGAGCTGGAACTACAGGTGCGTGCTACCACGCCCGGCTAATTTTTGATTTGTTGTAGAGATGAGGTCTCTCCAGTTTGCCTGGGCTGGTCTTGAACCTGCAGGCTCAGGCAATCCACTCGCCTCGGCCTCCCAAAGTTCTGGGATTACAAGCTGAACCACCAAGTCCGCCTAGTTTTTTTATTTTAAAGATGTGGGGTACAATTTAGGGTTAGGTATTCAAATGTTCATTATGCAGGTACCCTTGTTGATGAGGTGTGCCCCCCCCAGCAGATTCCCACTCCTGTCAATCCCTTTCTTATAGTATTACAATAATTGTTCAAGGTCCACTCATGAGTGAGAACATGTGATACTCGTTCTTTGTTTCTGTGATAGATTGCTCAGTACACTATCAATCTCTAAAAACAACTTAAGTGTCTAAAGTTAGGGGACTAGTGAAATAAATTATTGTACTACTCGATGGAATACTATTTAAGTAATCATGAAGACCACACAGCGACCTAGAAAATGTTTGTAGCATTAAATGAAAAAAGTGAGATATAAAGAATGTATACATTTCATGAGTAGAATTTTGTGGAAGTGCAAGTGAATATGACTATGGGAGGAAATATACAAAAATAATAATAGCTATTGTGTCAAGATGATAGGATAATGTTTCCCTTGAGCGTCCACACTTTTTTCTGGTGGTGGTATGTTTCTACGATAATCAAAACAATGTATAACATTAACAAATACCTTGTTGACTTTAGCATAGAGAAAACTTCTCAGTGGAGCATCCCTCCTCATTGCCAAGTTGTGATCATGGCTTTGAGTCTCTCTCTTCCCACTTTCATCAAATATCTCCTTTCTTTCCCTTCACCATCAGCTATTCAGCTCTACTAATTCTCTACTATCTACACGTACGTATAGGTGTCCTCTGTCCTAGTAATAAGAACCTCAAACTACCTGCCTCTGGTTTTATAAAACTAAAATGACTTTATCCTTCTTATTTATTTACTGTTAAACTTCTAGAATGAAAATTCAAAATCTGCTTCCTCGATGCCTCATCTTGTTCCTAATCTTCATCTTCCTTGGCTTGGAATAGCACCTGACCCAGCCTGGTTCCCCATCAAACCTGTGGAGACTGGACCCTGTTCCCTGCACTCACCTGCTGGCTGGAGTCCAGTTCTGCCAGGGCAGAAAAATCCAGAACTGAGAAGTGGGTTCCCACCTCACTCTGATGATCACCTGGACCTCCCCCATTACACCAGCTCCCTTTGGATAAGGCTGCCTCTGAGACCAGGCCTGAGCCTCCCTTGCTCCTAAGGACACTGTCTATTGCACTGCGGGCTGCGTCCTCCCTGCGAGTTCTTTCCGACAACCACGCCTGGCATCCTCAGGCCCATCCCCATCGAGTCCTGGCCAAATCTTTCTCTCACTGGCCTGATATGCTGAGTTGCCAGCCCACCACATAACAGAATCCCAAAAAAGGGTTCCAGTTGTTCTAAGTGGTCCCCTGCCGCATTTTCTCCACTTGGCCATCTTCCTTCCCAACAACTGCAAGACCATCTCACTAGCAGGTTAGGCCCTTTCCTTACGCATCTATCTGCAGGACTCAGCACAGCCCTCAGTGAGAGGAAATCAGCATTTACTGAATGGGTGGTGAATGCAAGAGTGAAGAAATGAATGATTAGCCTTCCTGTTCTCCCAGGCTCCAGAACTGACTACTGGAAGCTCTTCTTGACGTCTAGATGACATCTCCAAATCAATGCATCAAAACAATACTTAAAATTTCTCCCCTATGCACCTTTCAAAACTATCTGGACTGCCTCCTCGCCCCCTTGACACTTATGATTCCCTGGAGTCCTAACGGACTTTTCTGCTGGATTCACCCAGTTGCCAATTCCCAGCTTTCCGTTCCAAGCTCTCCTCCCGTCTATAGTCTATGACTTCCTTAAATGTAACCTGTGCTCCAGCCAAGTTGGACTATTTAATTCCTTGAATTTTATTTTTATTTTCTTGTAGAGACAAGGTCTTGCTATGTTGCCCAGGATGGTCTTGAACTCTTGGCCTCAAACAATCCTCCCGCCTTGGACTCGCAAAGTTCTGAGATTACAGGCACGAGCCACCATACCCAGCCTGCATTTTTTAAAGTTTGATTAAATTTTAAAAGCGAATATAGCTTTCTGCTCCTCCTGTTCGACAGACAGCTGCCTCTCTCACGCAGCCACGTGCCTGAGACCCCATGGCAAAGGCCAAGGCTGGAGTGAACGGATTTGGCCACATTGGGTGCCTGGTCACCACAGCGGCTTTTAACTCTGGCAGCGTGAATACTGTCACCATCAATGACCTCTCCATTGACCTCAACTACATGGTCTACATGTTCCAGTACAGCTCCACCTAGGGCAAGTTCCACTGCACCATCAAAGCCAGGAACAGGAAGCTTGTCATTCAACGGAAAGCCCATCAGCATCTTCCAGGAGTGAGATCCCACCAAAATCAAATGGGGCGATGCCGGAGTTGATTATGTAGTGGAGTCCACAGGTGTCTTCACTAATGTGGAGAAGGCTGGGGCTCACTTACAGGGAGGAATCCAAAGAGTCATCCTCTCTGCCCCCTCTGCTGACATCCCCAAGTTTGTGACGGGTGTGAACCACGAGAAGTACCAGAACAACCTCACAACTGCCAGCAATGCCCTCTTGCACCACCAACTCCTCAGGCCCCTAGCCAAGGTCATTCACAACAACTTTGGCATCGTGGAGGGACTCATGACCACCGTCCACACCATCACTGCCACCCGGAGACCATGGATGGCCCCTCTGGGAAGCTGTGGCACCATAGCCACGGGGCCCTCCAAAACATCACCCCTGTGTCCACCGGTGCTGGCAAAGTCATCCTTGAGCTGAATGGGAAGCTCACAGGCACGGCCTTCTGTGTCCTCACCGCCAATGCATCCATCTGGCCCTAACCCGTTGTCTGGAGAAACCCACCAAATTTGATGACATCAAGTAGGTGGTGAAGCAGGCATCTGAGGGCCCCCTCAAGGGCACCCTGGGTGACACTGAGCACCAGGTTGTGTCTTTAACAGTGACACCCACTCTTCCACCTTTGATGCTGGGGCTGGCAATGCCCTCAACAACCGTTTTGTCAAGCTCATCTCTGGACAGGACAATGAATTTGGCTACAGCAACAGAGTGGTGGACCTTATGGCCCACGTGGCCTCCAAGGAGTAAGAGTCCCCAGACCATTAGCCTCAGGGAGAGCACAAGAGCACATCAGCCTCAGAGAGAGGCCCCTCAGCTGCTGGGGAGTCCATGCCACACTCAGTCCCCAACCATACCGAGAATCTCCCCTCCTCACAGTATCCACGCCAGACTCCCTGAAGAATCAGGGGTGGGGCTTAGGGAGTCCCACCTCATGTGCCATCAATAAAGTCCCCTGGGCCAGGCTCGGTGGTTCAGCCTGTAATCCCACACTTTG